TTTTCTCGCCGTTTTCGTTTGTGATTACTGGAAAGCTAAAATGCTGCCAAACCCCCTAATCAGAGATTTACATAATGACGTTGATGGGAATTTAGTCTAATTCACAAAACATTTTGAAGCCAATTTTTATCATATTTAATCTCCTTTTCTTTTGCTGTGGTCGATTGAGGAACATCTATTATCAGTCATGTGGCATGAAAGGCATGACTTCAATACATAATCGAGATCTACAAGGAGCATTTTGCTAAAAGACATTGTTTGAAGCTCTTCAGTGTCATGCCTTCTTTGTTCAGTTCCTGTTCGAGAAAAGGGGAATTTGACTTGACTGTAGAGCAGAAAAATAGTCATGTGAGGATCTTAAACCTAAACCATATTTCTGGTTTAGGAATGTGATTTATTTGACTGTCAGGAGGATTGAGTTGATAGTAATATTAATATTTACCAATGGCTGCATGTTGAAATAAATTCCAGATTAATCTGAAATTAATTTTTAGGTGACGTGTATTTAAATCTGCGATTACTCCCTTGGGATGAAGCTGAAACAGTAAGCAGATGGACCCTTTGTCTGACTGTTTAATTTTCCCAGGATGTTTCTGTCTACAGGGGTGATTGGTGCTTTTACACCCCAGCTGCTGCGTGTTGAGAGCTCATGTGCCAGATTTTGTTTGCTGTCTGGTGGTGCCCATCTCTCTGATGATGAATGTGGGTTTCCTTAATGGATGAATGTGGGTTTCCTTAATGATTTGACCCCTGATGCTTGACTATCCTTAAAAGCTTTTTCAAAAGTCTTCAACATAGCAGAATGTTAATATTGTATTAAAGTGTTTTATGTTTTCAGTTTTGGGAAACGCCTCCCCCCTCACTGGTGTTTTACTGACAATAACTCGTTAAATAAAGGATATCATTGGCAAAACTGTTCCAGCACTTAAAATTATTGTTGATTTATACTAGAATCTTGTTGGTTATTTCGGTGTGAACCAGTTCAAAACACCCATATCCGTTTGCTCATACATTTGCAGGTTTTTTGGTTTGCTAAAGTGGGTCCAGCTTAGGTTTTCAGCAGAGGTCTCCTTGTCCCCCCAGGCCTTTGGTCAAGCTCACTCCAACCATAAGAAGGTGGCTGCTGATGGAGAGAGTCGGGAAGAGTCCCTGATCCAGGAGTCTGCCTCCAAGGAGGCGTACTACGAGCAGAGGGTCCTGGAGCTGCAGACTGAGCTGAGGCAGATGAGGAACGTCCTGACCAACACCCAGTCAGAGAACGAGCGCCTGGCCACCATCGCCCAGGAGATGCGGGAGGTGAGTGCTAAACACCCCCCGCCAGAATTTACTGTTAGACTCTCCATCTCCTTTTTTGCAGTATATGTGGGCTGGTGGACCAGGCTAAAATGATGGGGGGGGGGGGGGGAGTTTTGGGGGCAATCTTTTATACCAGCTCTAGGAATAGAATAGCTTATTTATACAAACAAAAATATCTGTACAAGCAACGATAGTGTCAATAATCTCGGCTATTATTTAGTGAAACTGTACGTTTGTGTCTATTCAGCCACATTTTATGTGAAAATGTAATTTTTTCAGGATGAATCAGATTGGACAGATAGTCCCATCTGGTAATGTCTTCTGTGTCTGTTAATAAGACAATGTAATTATATTCCACACCCAGCACTGATGTACTTCCAGCAGGGATTTTTGTTAAGGACTACAACAGCCAGGCATATTGACGGATGGCTGTGTCAGGTGTATATAGGGTACTTAAGAGTAATGGTTTTCCGATTGCTTTTCCGCTGGCATTGGCTGAGCATCCGAAAACTGTGACTGAATGTTGTCAATAATTAAGGGGGCGGGGGGGTTGTAGAATGCTAGGATGAAGACAGGTCTCTGCTCAGCCTCTGTGACTGGATGGCTGCTGGAAGGCAAAGACGAGGGCGCCTTTGCTCTCCGTCATGTTAACAGACTATCGCTTCCTGTGATATATCTCGGTGTGTGAGGGAGTTATCTGGCCCCACTTGCTCGGCGTTTTTGATGCCAAATGGTAGCCTGTGTGGGTCCATGTCTCCACTGAAGCTCCACTGTGACGCCTCAGTGTCAGATATTAGCTCTGAAAAAACAAAGCTTGTGGTGTGAACGTAGCAGAGGCAGAGGCAGGGATATGAGGCCACAGCCGTCCTTTGGCCATGTTCTGGTGAGTAAACAGATGCCAGAAGGTGCATCTGCATGCCGGTCTGCTCAGCAGCTCAAGCACAGAAGATCCATGTATGTTACCCATAATCCCCCTGAAAATGATTTACATGAAGTGCTAATTGACTTGGAGTGGATTCCTCACAATGTGATGGTAGCTCTGCCCTTTCTAAAACAATGAGACGCTTTTCAAGAGCTTGGATGTTGTATTTAAGAGGAGGGTGGATTTCTTATGTGCACAGAGAACACCAAAGCTGTGTTTTTGGTCACCTATGAGTACCAAGACATTGCTTTTTTGGCAGTAACTTGTTTCATTGTGTACAGCGATGTCTGTCTGGACTTCCATGAACTGTAATAACCAGTACCTCATTTTAAGGGCGTCTCGAGCAGAAAAACACTGTCAGTCTGTGCCTGTCAGGGAGCAGCACTCATTTGGAAGCATTTGCTATGGACACAGACAGCATTCTGCGGCTTTATTTGTTTGGGACCAGTGTCTGATTTACATGTACGCGTATCAGACCTCCATGCTCCACATTAAACAGTAAAGCAGTTTTCTGTAGCCTTTCTGCCTCTTCGCTTCATTCTGGTTTTGTGTCCTTTGTTAACGGGTACATGTGTTTGTAGACAACCACCCTGCCGGCTGCTTTCCCATTTTGGACCCAGACCAGCATCCTCCCCTCACAACAAGCTGGTTTATTTATGTCACGCATGTCTGTCCCCTGTAGATTGCCCTCTAGGGTCACACGCCCAGATTCTTAGACTTCTTGTCTTGGGTGTGTTTGCCTTCACCACAAGCTGCGGCCCTGGGGAGGACAGCTGAAGTGCTTCCCTTGCTCCCCCCCCGGGGAGCTGCCCGTGTGGCGTGCCTGGCTTTGCCGGCCCCCTTGTGTGTTAGCTCCGTTAGCCTCGTTAGCTTTATTAGATTCCTCTGGTTTATTTCTGAAATGTACCCCCTCCCACTTCTTGTTTGTAGTTTGAGAAATACAAATTAGCTACACAACAAATGAAGGCTTTATTCACTGGGGGCTGGATAAATGAATTTGACGACAATATTTCTGGTACAATCCAAATTAACGTCACTTGTCAGAATTAAGGGTATTCTTTGTGTCTGCAGGGTCCTTCATTTTAATTATGCTAGAGATTTTGGCAGCTCACTCAAGCTTTAATCCCTTCTGGGGACTGACGTCTTTCCGATTTGTGTTGGAATTTATCTGCTCTGTCGTTTCCACTGAAATACTAAGAAGAGCTCAGATGAGCGTGTCTGAACCTCAGATTGGTGCCATATCAGAATTTAATCTTTCTAGCATTTACTTTTTGGATTGTAAATTGCTTCATGTTTAAAACACAACGGGAAATACCCGCTGGCTCATCCTAGTTGTTTGTACATCAGAAAATTCTGGAAGGTTCTTGTTAGGGTTGTGTATACACGCGTTGAGGCCTTACTCAAAGGTGCACTTATCTGTACACTGTGACAGACATTGTATAGCACAAGCATTATTGAATTTCCCATTCACTCTCCTCCTTACTCCTGCAGGAAGCCACCTACTCCTTCGACTATAATTATTTGCTGATGTTTTTGTTGGCGTAACTGCTGCCTTTATGGGGGCAATACTGAGATATAGGTCTGTTTGCAGCTTTAATCCTGTATCCAGGGAGTGTTTGTCACACCTAATGTTTCTCTAGACCAGTGTTTCTCAACCCAGTCCTCACCGAACCCCAGCCAGTCCACGTTTTTGCTCCCTCCCAGCTCCTAGCCAATCAGGAACACAGAATAGCTGGTACAGGTGCGCTGGGAGCTGAGAGAAAGCAAAAACGTGGACTGGCTGGGGTTCGCTGAGGACTGGGTTGAGAAACACTGCTCTAGACAGTTTGTTACATTTTAATGAGAAGTTTTTAGCTTTGGTCTAGCTGGACCTGACATTAAAAAAAACCCTGAAACTCATGCCGATTAACCGATGCTTGTTTGGTCAGTTGAGAATGAGTCGATGGAATATGTGGCCTCCACACTAGGTGAGAGACTTATGACTAAGTTGTGCAGGTTTGGACCAGAGAGAGAGAAATCAGCAGGAGTAACAAGATCCTTCATGTTTATGAGCAGTATGTACACACCCCGTTTAGCTAATGTTTCTGTGAATCACTGCATGTAATGTGTGGCTATACCCATATTTTGGGCCTGTGATTGATTCCATCCTATCCTGGGCCTGGGGCATGAAAGTGGGGCAGGTCTGCTGCTGCAAGATGTATTTTGCTCCTGTCCCTCCCACCGCGTGTCTGGAGGACTGCTGTAAAACACACTGCACACACTGCACACGCTGCACTGCGGCAGACTTCAGCCTTGACATTTTTATCATGCACAAGCAACGGCAGCAAGTGGGTCCCACTGGCTCCTGTGGAACCTCCTCGAAGGCAACCAGTCATGTCAGAAAATAAGCCCAGAACTTTAAGAGCTGTTATTCTTCAGTATGGAAGTAGTTTTATAGATATTTACCCAATAAAGCATGTTTTACAGCTAAATTCTGTTGTGAGGGCTGTCTTCTGCATGTTATCTTTATGAGTAGTTTATGTTGAGACACACTGTCATGCGATGAGATGCAGATGTTATAGCTCATTGGTGATCTACATGTTTGTAAAAGACCAAGCAAGCTGATTTTATCTTTTGCTAATGGCAGCAGGTCCATTGTAGGTAAAACATATTAGTTCACCCAGTCTCCAAAAAAGACTGACTAGCATAGAAAAGTATGCACTAATCAGCAAGTGTAAGATGTTAAATCTTCGATGTTTATGGGGGTTAATGATAGGGGCACACTTTAGAAGGGGTTTTTTGGGACCAGACGGTTTGACTTGGTGCACAGACTTGGCATGGTGGTGTTGCAGGCCATGACAAGTCTGAAAGCCCCCATTGTCTCCCCTTGTGATTAATGAAACCAGCACAATGAAAGAGCGACTGGGTGAGGAAGGAAACATAGTGCTCACTCGGGGAGAGCAATCTGTTTCGCCTTTGTTTTTCTCCACAGGATGATGTGTTTAATTTTAGGTACCTGAACCCCAATTCTATCACTTCATCTGTAGCCAAGGTAAAATGGAGATGAAACCCTCTGGAACAGTTGGCCTGGCTGTCGGACAGCTGTGGCTTTAGGCGTCTCGGCTTCTCAGCTGGTCATGAGACTGGATTGAAGAACCAGTTCATGGTAAAAGGACCCCTGCTGTCTGGCGAGTTTGAGAAATCAAAGCAAGGCAGGACTCACATTACCGTCCCAGTAGGCATCCCATTGGTCCTGCCTTCTTCCCCTAATTGATCTGTTTGATGGGGTTGGAGTGCCACACTTGTGTGTGATGTAGTGCTGTGAGGTGCCTAGTTTTCTTCATACAGTGCTTCTCTCAGCATGAAAGCCGTGAGCTCTGAAGGGGTATTTTCAGTTGCACAGTTCAACAGTTACAGAATAAAAAATCATAAAAGGCGCTATGCATGGGGTCCAACTGCCTTTAGAAGCGTGTTGTACTTCGGCTACTGTTATTCCACAACTGACCCTTACAGGCTTCACTTGAGGCTCCTCTCTCATCCCCAAGATGGCTGAAGTCTTCTGTCAGCAGAATGGAGCATGTAGGGTGGCAGAAAATCAGAGAGGACATTGAGCAGCAAGCCCTTACCCATTATTAATGTGGTCAGTAATGGGACGTGGCTTTTCTCTAACAAGCAATTTGCTTTTGTCTGACCAAAAATAGATATATAATATCTAAGAGCTGTCCAGTGTGTTTAGCCAGCATATGGGTTTGCTTTCCACTGAATCCTCACCACATTTATTTGACTATGGTTGCTGACTCCAAATATGAAGGAATTTCCAAACCCCTGAAACTCGAAAGACAGTCTGAAGGGTATTCATGGAAAAAAAAAAACGTTACTTTCCGCAAGTTTTTAGAGTCTCATACATATTCAGAACTTCAATAGCTTTCAAACCTGCTTTGAATATTTGATTGTTTCTGTGTTGTATCTTCAAAGCCAAACTGTTTGCCCAGACTTGACTGAATGGCATGGGAGTTCATTAATGTTTGCTGTGCATCACAACGTTTGCCCCACCAAAGTACACTCGTCATATTTTAGGCTTCTATCCAGTTGGTAAGGG